AGAAACATGAGCTCACGCCCGCCTCCCTGGAGATGTCTTCATAAGCTGCCGCTGCCAGGCCCTCCCACCAGGGCACATGGATGGCAGCTGCCCAGGCTCACCCCACGGCCACCCAGAGGGGCAGGGGCTGAGTGGGGGACAGCCAGGTGCCCCACAAGCACACCCTGGCTGCAGCCCACCCAGAGGGGCCTGAGTGGCAGGGGAGACCCAGTCCTCGGCAGAGCACACGGGGATATGGCCACACCTGCTCCCTCCCACAACCAGGAACAGGGATGGGCTTTGCCAACCAGGAGCTGGACAAGGACCCGGAGTATCAACAAGTTAATAATAATTATTACCACGTGAATAAATGCAGTAGGTGCTAAGCAGCCCAGTCTGCCTTGGGATATGCCAGGTACAGTCCTTGAGAGAGCGGTGCTGCAGGGGGCAGTGAGATGGCCGTGCCCAGGCAGGAAGCGGGCACTGGAGCCCACAGGGGGCACCAGGAACAGCTGGGAGGCCCGGCCCAGCAGCCACGTGGGGTCACACCCTCCTTGGTCACTCAGGTGCCGACAGGGAAGCCTCCCTATGTGGTCACAGACGCTGCCATCCCCAGCAAAAGCAACACAGGCATTGGACAGCCCAAAGCACAGCAGACACAGAGCAGGAACCCCACAGGCTGCTGGGAAGAGGAAGGGGTGTGGGAGCCTGGGGGGGTGCTGAGGACGAGAAGTGACCCCCTGGAGCAGGGTAAGGCTTGGCCACAAGGCCAAGTGTGCCTGTGACACCCATCCCTCAGCTTGGGATCATAGGCAGACAGCATGCCACGAGCAGGGACCCCAGGAGGCCCAGGAGGCTGGGAGTCGGGGCCATGTGCCCAGGGCGATGTGCCCCATCCAGAGGCCCAGGTCCAGGGAGGCTGGGAGGTCCAGGGAGGCCCAGGAGGCTGGGAGTCGGGGCCATGTGCCCAGGGCGATGTGCCCCATCCAGAGGCCCAGGTCCAGGGAGGCTCAGGAGGCTGGGAGACGGGGCCATATGCCCAGGGCGATGTGCCCCATCCAGAGGCCCAGGTCCAGGCTGCACCAGGAGGCTGGGCCCGCACAGGTGTGATCTGCTGCATGGTGCGAACGAACGTGTCCCTGCTCAGTGTGCTGGGTAACCAGTCATCTTCAGGGATTTGTGTGGCAGACACACAGACTGTGGCCACTTCCGACTGAGCAGAGAGGACAGGTCTGAGGGCACCAGAACTGGCCATGTGGGGCCACTCGGGGCTGGGGCCCTGTTCTTCCAGCTGATCATGGGCCAATGCACAGGTCCTGTCCCATTGAGGACTTCCTGCCTTGGTTTACAAAACGTCCCCTCTGGCACGGAATAAAAGCAACTTGAGATCAAATGAAAGCAGTCAGCTCCATAAACACTGGGACACAAGGTGACAGTACACAGAGCTCCAGGGGCCGCGCAGGGGCCTGGCCCTAACCTGTGTCTGCTGTAAAGGCTTCGCAAGGCCACACACGGGTCCCCCTGCCCCAGCCCTGCCTCAGGACCCAGAGCGGTCAGACGAACGTGGACTTGGCTGTAGCGGCAGGACGGCCCCACCAAACTGTTCAATGCAGGATATGAGAGACAACGTACCGGGCAGCACAGCTGTCTGTGAAACAAGGGTGGTGTTGCCGGGGAGTGGACAAAGCAGCTGGGGAGGCAGCTCATAGCTGGGCCCCAACTTCATGGGACACGCCAGCCATGACAAGTACACAGGAGATACACGGGACACACCATGGTCATGAGGAGCACACGGGAGCAGACACAGGGTGGGTGGGAGCTGAGCCCCACTGCTGACCGCACTCAGGCACAGCAGCCCGTGATACTCAGGGGCCAGACACCCCCTTTCCTCAGACACCCTAAGCACGGCAAGTGTTCGCCAACTCCACAGCTGGCGAGGCCCCTCCCATGGCCGCCACCTCTGCTGGCCGGGCCAGGACATCCACAACAGCTGGGTGACATGGCAACAAGCAGCGACCATGGCAGCAGCCCGGACAATGTGTGACCCTGACCTGCAGAAACGGAGAGAAACCAGGGCCCTGAAGGGAAGCCAGGCAGGGAGAAGCTCAGCCGGGCCTGGCAGCCACGCACGCGTCACATAGCACACATGCGTCACACACATACCTCACACACGTCTCACACATGTGCCACACAGCATACACATGTGCCATACCTCACACACACCACACTCACACACCTCACACACCATACACATGTGCCACACCACACAGCATACACAAGCACCACACCTCACACACACCACACTCACACACCTCACACATGTGCCACACAGCATACACATGTACCACGCCTCACATACCACACACACTCACACACCTCACACACACCACACACACGTGCCACACAACACACTCACACACCTCACACACACCACACAGCATATGCATGCGCCACACCTCACACACCATACTCACACACACCCACACTCCTCAGACACACACAACACATTCCCCATTTAAATATACACACCTCACATACACACCTCGCAATACACAAACATCCACACCCCACACATATACACCCCCCTCAGATGCACCCTTCCCCCCAGGGCCTGTGTGCGCTCTGCATCCTCACAGCCACTCCATGCTGAGGTGGAGACAGGTGGAGTGAGAGCACTGCCCCTGGCTCAGGCAGAGCTGGGTCGGCCTGGGGGACAGCCTGGCTCCTCTGTGGAGTTCCCCCACTCCTGGCCTCCCATAAAGCATAGAGGAGGACTTTGCATGCTCCACCAGGGAGTCGCCGCCCCCCAACGGTACCAAAGGACATCTCCCCAAGGCACCTGAGTGCCTGGCCCAACTACCACAGGCCTCAGCCGACCCCATCCCCAGATCCTGGGAGCCAGCCAAGGGCTGCACACCCACAGCTATGCCCTCCCGGGACCCACAGCCACATCCTCTGAGGACCAGCAGCCATGTCCACCCAAGACCCACAGCTATGTCCACCCGGACCCACAGCCACGTCCACCTGGGACTCACAGCCATGTCTTCCAAGGACCCACAGCCACGTCCACCCGAGGACCTGCAGCCATGTCCACCCGGGACCCGCAGCCATGTCCTCTGAGGACCCGCAGCCACGTCCACCCGGGGCCCACAGCCACGTCCTCCCAGAACCCACAGCCACGTCCACCCGGGACCCACAGCCACGTCCACCCGGGACCCACAGCCACGTCCACCCGGGACCCACAGCCACGTCCCACCCGGGACTCACAGCCACGTCCTCCCAGGACCCACAGCCACGTCCACCCGAGGACCCACAGCCACGTCCACCCGGAACTCACAGCCACACCCTCCTGGGAGCCCCCCCAGACACACCCTCCCTGGACCCATGGCCATACCCTCCTGGGACCCACAGCCATGCCCTCCCAGGACCCCTGGAAATGCCCTCCTAGACTCACAGCCACGCCCTCTCTCAACCCACGAACAAACCCTCCTGGGATCCATGGCTACGCCCTCCCAGGACCCCAGGACATGCCCTCCCAGGACCCCAGGACATGCCCTCCCAGGACCCCAGGACATGCCCTCCCAGGACCCCAGGACACACCCTACCAGGACCTACAACCTGCCCAGGCCAGACAGGACCAGACAGGACTCGACAGCCCCCTCTGTCCAGGCTGGGCTCTCTGGGCAGACGCCAGAAGGGAGCAGAATAGGAATACGCTTATTCATTTGACGAAGGAAACATGAGCACCAGTCCAGGGGCTGGCAGCAGGGCAAGCGGCCCCGGCCCAGGCACCAGGCGATAACCCCATCACAGGAAATAGGCCCTGACTACTGCCGGGACCGCAAGCGAGTGGAAACCCACAGACATGTCCTGAAACGGCAGGATGGAAGGGCTGGAGGACGTGAACTGGACAATCAGCCCAGCAGTACACCGCACAAACACAGGAGGAAGATGGGAACAATGCCACCTTGGGTCCCACCCAACCACACATACTGGAAAAGTTCCCACAGACACAGTGAACCCGCGGGGCTGCCTAAGTGTTAGGGCAGCAGATGGATATGCCACAGCCAGGGCCCAGCAGGTCACCCAACATGGCACCCAGGGGCCGTGTGCCTGCCTGGTGGGGGCGGCAGGAAGGACCAGGAGCAGGCTGGGCAGGTGGGGAAGGCAGTGACCCATCCACCACGGACACTGCTTCCTGCCACGGTGCAGGAAACTACCCGTTCACCCTCTGCTCACCGCACCTGCCCTTCTTGGTGTGCAGGACACCAGCCTGCTGACTGGTCCGCGTGGGGACAGAACAGTGGGGGTCTCTGACCTAACATGCCACTCTGATGCACTGGGACAGAGGCGTCCCCGTCTCTCCCGTAGGCCCAGCCCAGCCCTCTCGGCCACACCAGGGGTCAGCTCGCCAGTGCAGAACTAGGCGGACCTCACCTGCACTCTCGCAGCCCGACTGGCCACCCCCAGGTGCTCCCAGGAATCTCACAACAAAAACACCCGAGGCAGCCTCGGCCAGCCGCACTGCCCGGGAAGACCCAAGGTCCCCTAAGGGCGCCCTCCTGGGAGCGCACCTGCACCTGCCCACTGAGCGCCGGCCGCGCGGACACTCCCAGCGCCGGGCGCACCTACACCTCTCAGCAAGCACCCAGGGCTTCCCTCTCCTCGGCCAGGGCGCGCCCCGACAGCTTCCCCTGGAGTCCTCGTCCCTCGCTCACCCGGGCGGGCGGCGGGCTCCGAAGGGAGCCGGGGAGCTGACTCACAACTTCACTCCGAATCCCACGACGGAGTTTGAGACGCAAACAGAAGCGCCGGCTTCCTGGGAGCGCAGCCAGCCGCCCAGCCCCTGCCCCCGGCCGCTGCCCCGACCGCGCGCGGGGACGCGGCGAGCTGGGCACCCGGGACCCCGTCGCGAGCCCCCGGGTGCGAGCTCCGAGCCGCCCCCCGGGCAGCGGGCAGCGTCACGCGGCCCCCCACCCCCGAGCTCGGCCGGCAACAGGGTCCCGGGCCGCGGCACTCACGTATCTCCGCACGAGCGTCCGCAGCAGGCTGCAGTCCATGGCTCGGCTCACGGCCCGGGCGCGCCGGGCGCTGCTGGCGGCCGCGGCCCCTCGGCGCTCATGCCCGGCCGGCCCCGCGCTCCGGCGCCCGCGCCCCGTCGGCCTGCGCCGCGCCTGTCTCCTCCTCCGCGCCCGCCGCCCCTCCGCGCCCGGCCCCTCCTGCGCCGGCCGCGCGTCACGGCCGCCGTGAGCATGCGCCCCGCCGCCCCCGCCCGGCGCCCCCGCGGCCGCGCTGGCCGTCCGCGCGCCCTGGCCGGCCGGCCCGACCCGGAGCGCGGCGCGCGGGCCCGGCGCGACTCCCTGTTGCTTCGGCTGCGGGCGCGGGGAGGGCACCCGGGGCCCCGGCCGCCCCCCGAAGGCCGGCACTGCCTCGGGGCGGGGTCCGGGGCTCCGCCCCGCGCAGGTGGGACACGCCTTGCCAGGTGCGGGCCCGAGGAGGGCTAAGTCGGGCCTGCGACCCGGCCGTGCCCCCCAGGCCTCCCGCCCCGGGGCCTAGAGTCTCCTGTGCTGGGGGCCTCTGGTCCCCCCAGGGGAATGCAATAAGCCGCTTTCTGGATTGGACGCTGTGGACAGAGAGGGCAGGGGCGCCGCACCCTTGGCTGGGACTGGGCACCTCGGAGGCCTGCTCCATGGCTGCCAGGCTGCTGCCCCAGGCCACAGTTGTGCTGGACTCCCAGCGGACGGAGCCTCCCCCGTCCCCCTGAGGCCAGTAAGGGTTGCTGGTAGCTAGGTCACAGCACTGGTTGAACAAGGAAAGATTGTTTCGGAGTCACCGTTACAGAGAGAGAGAGCAAAGGAGAAACAGAGAAAGATCTTTGATCTGCTGGTTCACTCTCCAAATGGCCTCAACTGCCAGAGCTGAGTCCATCAGGAGCCTGGAGCCTCTGGTCTCCCATGCAGCTGCGGGGTCCCAAGGCTTTGGGCCATCCCTGGCTGGTTTCCCAGGCCACAAGCAGGGAACTGGGTGGGAAGTGGACTAGCCGGGACTTGAACCAGGGTCCATACGGAATGCTGGTGTTGCAGCTTGTGGTTCCACCGTGTGTACCACAGCCCCGGCTCGGTAAGAGAGACCTCAACTGCCCCTGTGAGGACCTGAGTGGGGGTGGCAGGTGTCAGGCTCGACCCCACAATTGTCGTGGTTCTTGCCCCATGGCGTCCACTGCTGCTGGCTACTGCCCACACTTACACTGTCTCCTGCCAGGGACAGGCCAGGGAGTACCAACGGGCAGCCTGCAGGGGCCAGCGGCCCTCAGGAAAGGAGCCCAGAGGCCAGGTTCCGCTCCAGCTGCCGTGGCTGCAGCGGCCCCAAGAGCCGGCCACATGCTGCCTGGACTCAGGGTCGACAATGGACGGCTTTGTTGGCCCAGCTGAGCTGGGACTGTGTCCTGTAGTGGAACAGGAGGGCCAGCCCCTGCAGCGTGGCCATGCACCTGCCAGCGGGGCCCCACAAACTGGAAACCGGGGACAAAGGAGGCCCAAATAAGGGTGCCCCCTGGCTGCTGAAACAGGGCTCCGACAGTCAGCCCTGACGGGGAGCTTGTCTCATCTGCCAGAGGAGACAACAGCCAGTCCAAGCTTCCGGAACATTCTGTGTACTCCCCCACTCATGTGGGGTCATTGCTCCCCCTGTTTGGCGGGCCCCCGCCCCACACTGGCCCTGGAATCTGCATTTCCCCCTCCCCACATCCTTCCACACCCCGTGTCCTCATTCGTCTCCCTCACCCACCTCGTTCCCTCCCTGGCAACAGAGCCGGCCCCTGTGGCATGGCAGACTTGCCCACCAGAGCTGCATGTGTGCCCCTGCAAGGACGTGGCCGCAGAGGCAGCAGGGGTGGGGCTAGAAGCCTGCCAGGTATAGCCATATGGACGGGAAAGGGTTGCCATCCTGCCCAGCCACTGCCCAGCCATGCAGACAGCTGAAGCAGGCAGGCCCCGAGTTGGAGCAGGCCATGGCTCTGTGGCTGAGTTTGTGCCCTGGGTCAGTGCAAGCCCTACAGCCACTGTGACTACAGCTGTGCCAATCCTGGAGCGCCAGGCCAGCCTCGCCCTGGCTGCTGCTCCATGTGTGTGACCTAGGACACCGAGTCTCCTCTCAGGCCTGCCAGCAGGTGCAGGCCAGGTCAGGGGGCAGGCCAAGTGACTGAGTGACAGGCCCCACGTCTTGCATCTGACCGTGTGCTGTGTGTTGGGGTGCAGCCGGACCAGCTGCTCCTCAGTGCCCCATTCTCTGTGTGCAAGCATGTGGACGGATGCCCCTGGAGTTCTGGCGCTGGTCCCCCACCCCCAGCTGCCGCTTTCCATGTCTGCAAGGGCCTACAGCTACCCATGAGTGCGCGCTGCCTGAGAACCCCAGAAAGCAAGGTGGGTGCTCCCCAGAGACGTCACCACTTCAACTGGGGGACCAGCATGCACCCCTTCTCTGCCCCCGGCCTGAGCCCTCACTGCCCCAGTGTCCTTCCTGGGGACCATGCAGAGGCGCCCGCCAGCAGGAGTGGCCATTGGAGGTGAGCAGCCAAGGTCCGGGCAGGCGAGGTCCTCCTGCCCCTGCCGACCACAGGCAGCCCCAGCCTAGCACGGGGGGAGAGGGGTTTGCTGTGGGACCCCAGCTGCCCGCTCTCTGGGGTCACAGGAGAAGGAGGGAGGAAGCCATGGCTCAGGGTGGGCTTTCGGTACCAGGACTCTGAGAGGTGAAAGGCCGTGACAGTGGTTGTGACCATGCCTTGCAGGGGACGGCCCTGCAGGGCGTCCCGCCTCCAGCCCAGCAGTTCAGTGCCTGGTAACAGAGGCCAGAGTCCAGTGGCCCCACATGGCTGCGTGGCCCCGTGGGCACCAGGCACGTGGTGGGGCTCAGCAAGGGTCTGCTTCCCTCCCCAGGATGCTCCTCGGACAATGAGTACCTGTTTACTGCCTGGCCTGGCCCCCAGGAGGCTGCACGGTGGCCACTGTACCTGGCCTTCCCTGCAGAATGACAGCTCCCCTCACCAGCCCTCCAGCGACCTTGTGGGCAGTGGCACAACCAGGCAGAGTCCCTCCGCGCAGGGTGGCTGGGCTCTGCCTCCTGAGGTGGCAATCTCACTCAGACCATTGGGCTTCCCTCCTACCAGGCACAGCCCTTCCCACCCTAACGGCTCAGGGCACAGAGCGTGCTTACCCGGGAAAATGTTAGGCCTCAGCCAAGAACCGGATTTAAAGAAGTCACTTTAAAAGGAAACAGAGCTTCCTGGCTCTAGCAGTGGCCGCTGACCCCGCCCCGCCCTGCCCCGCCTGGCTCCAGCCCTGAGGGAGCCCTGTTCCTGCTAATGCATGAGGGATTTTACAGGTTTACTCATTTACCTAGGGGGTAGGGCGGTCCCAAATGGCCTCGCTGGCCAGCACTGGGCCAGGAGCTTCTCCAGATCTCCTCCCAAGCACTTAGGTCATCCTCTGCTGCTCTCACAGGCCACAAGTACGAAACTGGATGGCAGGTGGAGCAGCTGGGACAGGAACCAGCGCCCATACAGAATGTTGTCTCACAGACGGGGGTGTAACCTACTGCACCACAGCCCCTGTGAGCCCACCCACTCCCATAACACCACTCCCCATGTCTAAGAAATGTGCTTGTGATGTGGCTTGTCTTGTTAAAATGGAGACCCATCACGGCCAGGATGCTCACAGGTGAGTCACCACCTGTGCCCACCAGCCCACATTATACAAGCAGCTGCAGTTGACTTGAGCACGAAGGCACCCTGAGCCGGCCTGTGGCCAGTCCTCTCGGAGTGTGCCCACACTGACGCCCTCCCTGCCACCTGACCACCCCACCCCATGCACCGATGATTTTATGTTTCCCTGTGAAGAACAAACGGTGGTCGGGGTCAGCAGCCACACTTTTCCAGTCTCCTCACTGGGAACAGCAACTCCCTTCACCTCAACACCTTTCCTCCCTGCGACCCGGCTGCGGCAGTGCGCCCACACAGCTGCTATGGAGCTGCACCTCCTCCTGCCCCTCCTCCTGCTCCTCCTCCTGCTCCTCCTGCTCCTCCTGCTCCTCCTCCTGCTCCTCCTGCTCCTCCTGCTCCTCCTCCTGCTCCTCCTGCTCCTCCTGCTCCTCCTGCTCCTCCTGCCCCTCCTGCTCCTCCTGCTCCTCCTGCTCCTCCTGCTCCTCCTGCTCCTCCTCCTGCCCCTCCTGCCCCTCCTGCTCCTCCTGCTCCTCCTCCTGCTCCTCCTGCCCCTGCTGCCCCTCCTGCTCCTCCTGCCCCTCCTGCTCCTCCTGCTCCTCCTGCTCCTCCTGCTCCTCCTGCTCCTCCTGCCCCTCCTGCCCCTCCTGCTCCTCCTGCTCCTCCTGCCCCTCCTGCTCCTCCTGCTCCTCCTGCTCCTCCTGCCCCTCCTGCTCCTCCTGCTCCTCCTGCTCCTCCTCCTGCTCCTCCTGCTCCTCCTGCTCCTCCTGCTCCTCCTGCTCCTCCTCCTGCTCCTCCTGCTCCTCCTGCTCCTCCTGCTCCTCCTGCCCCTCCTGCTCCTCCTGCTCCTCCTGCTCCTCCTCCTGCTCCTCCTGCTCCTCCCCCTGCTCCTCCTGCCCCTCCTGCCCCTCCTGCTCCTCCTGCTCCTCCTGCCCCTCCTCCTGCCCCTCCTCCTGCTCCTCCTCCTCCTCCTCCTGCTCCTCCTGCTCCTCCTCCTGCCCCTCCTCCTGCTCCTCCTCCTGCTCCTCCTCCTCCTCCTGCTCCTCCTCCTGCTCCTCCCTGCTCCTCCTCCTCCTGCTCCTCCTCCTCCTCCCTCTCCTCCTCCTGCCCCTCCTGCTCCTCCTCCTCCTCCTCCCCTCCTGCCCCTCCTCCTGCTCCTCCTCCCCTCCTCCTCCTGCTCCTCCTCCTGCTCCTCCTCCTGCTCCTCCTCCTCCTCCTGCTCCTCCTCCTGCTCCTCCTGCTCCTCCTCCTCCTGCTCCTCCTGCTCCTCCTGCCCCTCCTCCTGCTCCTCCTGCTCCTCCTCCTGCTCCTCCTCCTGCTCCTCCTCCTGCCCCTCCTGCCCCTCCTCCTGCCCCTCCTCCTGCTCCTCCTCCTGCTCCTCCTGCTCCTCCTGCTCCTCCTGCCCCTCCTCCTGCTCCTCCTGCTC